TCTGCTTCCAGCTTCTTAAATGTGGATATTCACGGGTTTTCTATGTCGTCTATGAGGTTTCTTTTGGTTTTGGAGAGTTTAAAACAAGACATCTGAAGACATTCCCTTGAATTGTGGGAAATTATAACGGACATTCTTCACTATTTTCAGACATTTTATTGATCAAAAAGTGACTCCATAATGAAAATAACGGTGATTTGCAGCCTTAACTAGCTGAAAATGACCTAGAAATTGGATGCGTGACGCCTCCTGGTCGGACGTGTTATTCAACACAGCTTCATTTGTAGACTGTGTGAGTGTGAGTGTGACAGTATAATACAGCACAGAGAAATACAGTATGTACTAGACTGAACCTTGTTCTGTCCCGACTTATGTAACAGTGTTAGGAGAACACAATAGCAAGTGTATGCCTCTGTGGACACATGCATACACGCTCACACACGCTCACACACACTCACACACACTCTGTGGACGTTTGCTAAGCACACCTTGTCACCAAGGTCAGACTTAAGCTGTCAGAAGTCAAAGAGCGAGCAGGAGTCTGGTGCAGGGAAACTCCTCCACCTCCTCCTCCAGGATTCATTGAGAAATTATAATGAAGGTATTTCACCACAGTGGATCAAAAAGCTTTGGACAGAATCATTCCTATACAAAACAAACCCTTCAGCTCTGCTAGCTCCCTCCCTCTCAGCAAACTGGAGCTTTTACAGTCACTAGAAGCACATTCACGCTGTTTATAAAGTGTCTAGCTAGTGGCTCAGAGAGGCTAACTCTCCAGTGTGTGTGTGTGTTGGTTTTCTAGCGTTTTTTTAGACGTGCATAAAATATATTATTATATTTTCAACTTTTCCAACCAGACAAGCATGAGGTGAACTTCACTACTTTACTACTTCCTTCCTGTTTTACTATGCCGGTAAATAAGTTAGCTAGTTAGCAAGCGGTTGAAGGGGTGTAGTGGGCGCTTTTGAAATTAAGTTAAAGTTTACTCATCTAGAATTCGACGTCTACTTGAATCCACTACAGCGATGCGTCTGTGTGTGCGCTGCCTCTTTAGATAATAAAGTAGTCCACTCCCGGTGTTCATTTTGGGTCTTTTCATACATGATAACATATGGAAGAAAAGGTTTAGGTAGTTTGTTGTGTTTTTACTGTACTCCCATGATGCTCTCCCTGGTGGTAACCTGAGGCTGCTGCTGGTGACACTTGTGGACTTGTGACCCTGTAAGTGTGCTCATTGTGTGCACATGTACATATTGTATGTGTGGTTGCACCTGAGCCTTTTTGCCTCCACGCGGCCCACCACATGGCCTCTTGGCCGGCCCCGTTGGAACCAGGCTTACATGCCCTGTAATCCTCTGTAATCTATCACAATCCAGTTTAGCTCGTTACTCTAATCTGTCCAGGCAGCCTCTTCATCTCTGTGGTGTATCCACACGGCGTGAACACCAGCAGGGTTATTCACTGCCCGCTCGCTGCGTCCACTTTTACCTCCGTATGACATTTCCTCTCTCGCTGCTCTCCAGCTTCCTTTTCCTGTATGTTCACATTATTTTTTACTTTAGTTCAGACTGAGGAGGCAAAGTCAGGTGTTGCTGTTAGTTAATGAGGATATATCATTTATATAATCCCCTTCTTTCTATATTTTCCTGCATTTTTATCCCCCTGAAACACGATTCTACCCAACCTAAATCCTTCCAGCCTTCGACCCTTACTTTGTTTCTGTGGACACAAATTATGGATATATTCATTTATGTGTGTGTTATTTTCCCAATGAATCGATCATTGTTTTGTGTATTAAACAGTAGAAAATGCCTGTTATATAATGTCCATATCTTGAGGTCTTTTTCCAAACATTGAGCGTAACTTTGGAGCGTTATTTAGCCCCTTTCCCAGCATGCTAGCATGAGACGGTTGGAACAGACGAATGCGTTAGGCCACAGCGTCTTCAGTTTATATCAGAGCCTCTGACAGAAGAGGGAAGGACAACGAGGTTGGCAGATGTTGTGATCATGGTCCATTTACTGGCTTTTTCAGAGCTTTCAATCGCATCTTCATCTTCATCTTTAAACAGAGACAAGGGTTAGGATGCCATTATCTTTCTTTTATTATTATCTTTTATTATTACCTTACTTATGTTATGACAGTTGAGCAAATGATTGAAAGCTCCAGTACAACAGTAAGTGGACCTTGAGTTAAGCTTTTTGTTGACGGATGCATCCAGTAAAACCCCAAAACGATGTCACAATCACCCCGATGAAGTCGAGCTGGCTGAAGGCATTTAAAGAATAAAATAAAACCATATTAAATAAAAGCTTTTTATTAGTTTTGAATGGACTCCCTGAAGGAAAACGGCTGCTACGGTTTCACTGCGGTTCCTGTGGATAACTTGTGATTCTTCGCCAACACTCGACGCCTAATCTCGCTGATCTCTGATCTCTGATTGGATGATGAGAGGGATTGAAGTCTTTAAGAGACCACAACAACAACAACACATGGCCCGACACGGTGCTGAGGCGGCTGTGTCAGTGCAATAAGCTCCGCGTGTTTGACCTCCTGTTAGCTTTAAGGAACAGTTCAACATTGAAGTTAAATACAGAGTTCGAGTCGGGATGCGGTTAGCTTAGCTGAGGCGTACTTACAAGAACTACTTTAGCCGCTGAGCTAACGCTAGTCTGTCACAAAAGCTAGCGTCTTTGTATTTAACGTTTGAATTTTTGTTGTTTTGGTGTCAAAAAAGAGGCAAAATCTCTCCAAGCTATCTAGCCTTGCTAACTAATGAATCTTTACTCTGTGTCGCTAAAAGTTGAAGATTGATTGACAGGTGAATGTCAGGATATTATTGGTTGAAATCAGTTAGTTCATGCTGATGTAAGCACGCGTCACATTTAGTTTTAAAAGAAGACACAATGATTGGATTCTGATATAAAAATACAAAGAAATTGAGTTTTTGTGAAGGTTTTGTCAGACATTGTTAAATAGGGGAACAATATAACTGAGGTCTGATGATGATTCTTAACTATTTTATAGTTTTTTTTATGTTAAGTTTCTCTCGTACATCCTGTAGCTGCTTTCATTATCCACCAATCTGCCGATTCTGTGACTTTTATTACCAAATTTTCTCTCACATTAGACAAAGAAAAGCAGCAGAAACATCCGAGTTTAGAAGAAGATTAATAAGTAGTTTGTATCCACTTGTGAGTGAGTTGTGTGTGTCTATGTGTGTGTCTGTGTGTGTGTGTGTGTGTGTTGGCTGTATGATAGTGAGCTGTGAAAAGTCTCTGCACCAATGAAATATCTGCCAGACAGGAATTTTTAGTCGAAGAGAGGCTCCTTTGTTTTGGTCATCTTTTTTTTTCCACTCATGTGGCGGGTTGGCATGTTTCTTTTATGTGTGTGTGTGTGTGTGTGTGTGTGTGTGTGTGTACATGCTAGATAACTATCAGCTTATTGTATTGTTGCTCATTTAGCCTGGGAACCTCACTGCTATTTATAAACCCGAGGAGTTCTGCATTCCTCACTTTTACTCTGTTAACCTTATTTTGCTTCGGCCTCTCTGCTCTGTGTGTGTTTAACTGCTTCAGATTAGAAACAGATGAAGTTTCCAATAAAGTCGAGGACACACACACACACACACACAGTGACGCTAAGAGCCAGGGTTGAAGCGTGTGAACCGGAAATGGGTGCCTGTCTTGCCAGAGTCTGCAGACGGATTCAAAAGGTTCAGAGAGATCCGACCTGCAGACGTTCCCAGCCGTATTCCCAGCTCTGCCACGGATGTCTGCACTCTGTCTGCAGCATCCTGGACACATTGCTCACCTCCTTCCACAGCAAAACATGTCACTCTGTACATGTGCGAGTGTACATATGACTGATAATGATGCTTCCACAATAACACACACACACACACACATATACAGTCAGATAACCCAGGGTGAGCTGTTGTGTAATGGAAGGAAAGGCGGTCCGCAGCCAAAGTCAACACATGCTGCTCTGACCTGAACATAACAGGCCAGTCAGCTGGTTTCAAAACACACACATACATACACACAGACTTTTTTGTGATAGTGGTCAAGTAAAGGACAACAAATACAATGAAGAGTCCAAAATCTATCATGGCTGTAGTGGAATTGACTAGAAACATTCAAAACAATACCAAAAAAAACAATGTGCATTTGTTTTCTCCCTGTATACTGCAACATGTAATTTAACTTAATTAACAGTTAAAATTTGCCAGAAAGTTGTTGACATTTGTTTTTCCTTATACCAGCACTGAAAGGTAGCCATTCAGTCAGAAACCTTCCATTATTTGAGCATAGCGTTCTCCTCATGTCACTTGTATCATGTGTATTGGTGTAGGTAAGGTGGTGAAGGTGTACTTACATGGTTGTCGGAGGCCTGTATGGGGCTGAGAATGGGGGAGCCTGCAGGGCTGCAGAGCTCAGGGAAAGGGTTGGGGATGGCCGGAAGGGAGGCTGGACGCAGCTGCTGCTCCTCCTGCAGGCACCTGCAGAGGGAGACACACACACTCATGTCACAGTCCAGCCTGACCAGTGAAAGATTGACAATACTGTAATATGATGATGGGCATCACATGGGTGTAGACAGTAGGTACGGCACACATCATATATTAGACTAAAAACCTGGATAAAAAAGTAAAGCATGTATTTATAAAACCTCTCTTGTTTAGTAACTTACAGTTGTTTAACGCTGTTTAAATTATGACTTAATTTTGCAGCTGCAACAATGTAAAATGACAAATATTGGCTAAGACTGATTTGTTGCAGAGTGATTTCAAAACAAAACAATAGTAATAATAAAAAGCTTTATAAGCTAGTTAATCACAAATTTCTAATCAATCTGATTTTCAAAGACCATCTTATTCTCTTCACTTACATTTTCAAACTGGAATTAGCAATAAGTGCAATCATTATGTGCAATCTATGTCCCCGTGTATATGTTGGTGAGTAAGGCTGACAGCTGAAAGCAGCTTGCATGCAAAAAATTAATAATTGAAGCACAAACCCACATAGAGCTAAAGATAAACAGAAGGGTTCTTCCTCAGGCAATTCATTTCTGCAAAGACAATGCTTCCAACTGCTTTTATCTTAAAATCAAACAGTGAAATCAGGGCAAGGGGGAAGATTATGAGCATCTACCTGACGGCCTGGATGTGCATGGGCTGAGACTGCCGCAGCCTCTCCCTGGAGGGGGAGAAAGAGGGCAAGGGCGGGGTGTGACGACGGTGGGCCTGGCTGTGTCCCGGGTAGGCAGGGTGCATGTGGTGGTGCTGGTGGTGGTGGTGTGGCGCGTGCACATGGCCGTTGTTCAGGAGCAGCGCCGTGTCTGCCTGCGTAGAGTACACACTCTCCATTGAGGAGTTCATGTCATTCACCAGCTGCTCCAGGTCCACATCGTCATCTGTAGAAGCAGGTAGGACGGTGGGATGGGAGAGGTGGGGGAGGGTGGAAGAGGAAAGTGAGTGACAGTGACAGTAAAAGCTGCAGGACAGCAGATATCCACTAGGTGTTGCCTAGTCAGCACCAGTGTTTGAGAGATTACTTTTAAAACCCACCAGCTGATAGTCATTAAAGATCATCCTGCATAGACTCTTTCTGCAAATGAGATTAAACATCAGTGAATCTGTCTAGTTTAAGTGTTGGTGCCAAGTTTAATGATGTATAAAACAGCGAGAGGAGAACCAGAATGCTTACAAAGTTATCCATGTTATCTCTCAGAAGTCTTTACAGATGATACATAAAAAGGTGCAGGACAAACTATGAAGTCTGGTTATGGGAATTTCTACATTCCTAGTGATGTGTCTTGTCTTTTATCTCTATTTCTGTCTTTAAAGACAGATGGAGTAAATGCTGTGGGAGCCAATTTGTCAGAAGTGATTGCTAAAGGAATCCTGTTAGGGTGAAAAGTTTGCTTTACAGTCCATAAAGGGTGACCAGACATCATGCTTAACTTTGAACACACATCTCAGCATTTTGACCTTTTGTCCCACTCCTACTGGAGAAAATGCCACAGAACTCTGACTAGCAACTTTAATTAGTTATAATTCAACAGTGAAAATATTGCCAGAAGCATGTTGTGGCCCTGAACCATCGAGCATGAGAGGATAGAGAGAAAGAGCACACAGCCTTGTTTTGAAGTTTCACCCGTCCTCGTGTTGGATTACACTTTGGCTGGGATTTCTTCCAATGGCTGTGTAGTACACTCACTCACTAGCTTGCCATTGGTCAGGTTATGTGAAACCTGTCATTCACGTGGATGAGCTGTCTATCACGGACTGGAAGTTAGAACCACAATCACCCACAGACTGAACAACCAAGCCAAATCAAACCAAACCAAACCAGGTCTCTAGGACAGTCAGTTCTTTTCTTTTAACTTGACATGTTATTAATTAACTGAACTCAGTCCAAGATTTCAAAGGCCTAGTGTGAGCTGCCCTAAGTGCTTTGATGACCTGCTGTTCATTCACTCCCTTTTTTTTAATTAGACATTTAATTAGTAGACTGTCTGTAGTTCTTTATACTCCAAAATCAATTCCTCTTCAGGTATAAATGGAGTTGAACTTGCAAACTGCACCCATTATTTACCATTTCCCAGACCTACAGACATTTTTTTTTTCTAAACCTACATTTCTTACAAGCTAATGCACTGCCAGCTAGTGGGGAGAAGTGTACTAACAGGAAAGAAATGCCTCCAGTAAAGCCAGTTTTAGGTTAAGGGCAGATTAAGTGCAAGACTTAGAAGGTCCGTTAAAAAACAAGTGCAGTATGTGTCCATGTGTTTCTGTATGTGTATGTGTGTATGTGTGTGTCCAAAGCCCTTTGGTCCTATTCCACCCCAACACCACACACAGAATTCTTGACATTCCTGTAGGAAGAAATTACAGCACTCTGGGAACGTTCACCAGTCTGTTCATGGCATATGGTGGCCAAATGATCAGGACAAAGTAGGGCACCAAAACACACACAGAAGAGCCGAGGACAACATGTACGCTATGCAGCCCTGATGAGCATGTGTATGTAATTATACAGGAGAATTAAAATAAACAGCACATTGTACTAAATGGCACAAACACACACACAGTGAACATACACACTGAGCCTACTGAGCGAAAAGAAGCCGCTGTACCTAAAGCAGCAGGAGTCTTCCCATCTGATCTCGAATCACAGAGAGGTATGCATGACACGCACACACACACACACAAAAGACAGTCTGAGACACAAAGTCATGTGATGCCAGGGTTCACGAGCGGGACAGGGGTCGGGGGGACACGCACAGTTGGAAAAGACCAAGAGAACACAAGGACAGTCAGAGGTGGTTCTTATATAAAAAAGTGCAATATACTGTAGTCCTTTTTCACAGCAGACATTTTGACTTACTGTAGTAGGAAAAGCACAATGTTACTGATAACACTAACGATGGCTTTCAGCAAGTTTTAACAGTGTGACAGTGAGTGAACAATAACAGGAACCATCATTAATTGAGTTCCACTTTATATGGATAGTCCACCTACAAACTGCTATTTGTAACATTTCAACAACATATTAGTCCAAATGCAACAGGTTTAGTTAGGTTTAGGCACAAAAACATATCTTGGTTAGGGTATGTTCATTAATTGCTATATATACACACTATATAGATAATCTGTTAAACATCTACAAAACAAGTCACAAATACTGTTCTTTTCTTACTGTAACATGTCAAAATGTCTCATTTCGCATTGGCCTATTACACACTGATGGCCGTAAATTAGGCAATAAATGAAACTTTTCAGAACTTCAATATGCAGAAATCTTGTGATGTGACATTTATACATTCAAATGTTTGAATTTAATTTGTTTTAGAAATGAGGATCAATTTCAATTACTTTGGTGATTACTTAACTTTTCATTAATCAGGTCAAAATTTTAATTTGTTCAATTCTTTGGCTCAAATAGCTAAAACAATTAATTTGCTTTCACCACCAAAGCTGGCTTATCAACATGGTTGTTATTATGAGGCTCAAAACAGATTTTTTTCTGTCTTTGGCCAAAAATGGCTCTTTCAATAGTAAAGGTTGCTGACCCCTGCGCTAAACAAAGATGCAATCATCACTGATGCTGATGTTAGCATTTAGCTCAAAGTACCACTGTGCCTGGGTATAGCCTCACAGAGACGTTAGCTAGCATGGCTGTGGACTTAATCATGTTTACCTCTGCAACACCTAAGTGCCCAGAAGTTTGAAATGGTAATACTTTAGTTCAAGATGGCTCTGTGGGAGTTACTTTAAAAACCGGGTTCAGTTGTCATTGGCAAGTCTAAGCACAGACAAGATTTCCTTGAAGTGGTTACACTTAAAACCAATATTTCGTCAAGGCCAAAAATATCCCCCATCCTCCTAATTTTGGGAATATGAAGGGTGTCTCTCTGCAGCACCACTTTGTAATTAAGGCTGATAAGCCGGCTGGAGTTTTACATTAAAACGTAGCCTAGTGCAGATTTAAGAGGAAAATGATGGTATCATTGGCATTCCTCTCCCTCCTCCCTTTGCTGGCTTGGCCCACGCTGCACTGCTGGCTTCAGTTGGAGAAGCCAGAGGACATATAGCATGAAAATATCTTCTCCTCCTTCTCTTCTACTAACTGCGAATTTGAAAGTAGATGAACTGCTGCAGCACTCTGGCTAGCATCTGACGACCTACCATACAACCGCAGCCAATTTATTCCTGTAAGATCCCAGAATACATTGAATGAGGGCTCTCTGTCCCTGGCCACGACAACCTGCAATCATCGATCCCTGACGGCAGTCTAGAGGTCAGGGAAGAGAGCTGGACGTTCAGCTTTTCAGGGCAAAGTGCAATCCTTTATATGCAATAAAAATACTCCAGTTGCGTGATATAAAAATGCATTTTGGTACATTTTGCACATTAATCTTTTTGTTATAGTTTTACGCATCCGGTGTGCCGCATGTACCAGCCAAGACAAATCCTTTTATACTGTACTGAGACCACTTCTTTTTTTTTTTTCAGTTCACAGTTCACAGTTTTGCATTGTAGGAAGAACGAGTTTTCCTTATGGACGATAAAGTGAAAGTGAAACTAGCGAGAGCTCTGTTTTCAATCACCACACAAGATGTGTAAATGTCGGTGGCTAAAGTGTAATGCTTTCCATTCCTAGAAATCATTACAGAGGTGCATGTTACTAAACTTAAGTAATAACCAGCAATGAATTAACTTTACTGAAGTGAAACATGGCAACTCTGGAGGGGAGCACAAAATAAATTCATAAATGAACATTATGAGCAAAACATTAAATCAGGTGCAGTATATAAACTGGCTTACATGCAGTCAACACCATGGTATGTATTAAGACACATGTCATCAGCAGGGCTGGCATAAATGAAGGGCATGTAGCCTGAGTCAGGCATGGTCTAAATATACAACAAGTCCGTCAGTGGGGTTGATGTCATGCTAGTGCAAAATCAAAATGAAACAGTAGCTGTGTGTCTTGTTGGTCTTACAAATATAGTCTTCATTGTATCTTTTCGTTACCAATCCAGTAAATGAATTCCCCACAACTCTTATAATCCTTCTCCTGCATGCAACATGATGGAAAAACTAACTGCTGCTTATCAATTATGTATGATATCAACATAGCTAAATATTTGGATTGTAGACAAACCTGAAGTACACTGCCAAATTTGGGTGTCTATACTCTATACCCAATGCTGTTAGTATCATCAATTATTGCTTTAACACATTGCGGTCTGAGAGTTATTTAGGATAAAGGATTGTAATTTACTTTTCCTTTTGCCCCTCAACCTGAGTCATCAATTTCTAAGTTAGGGCATTTCCATTTTTCACAGATACAACTGCCCAAAGAGGATATGACATTTCTCATAATATTCTTGTGTGCAGGTGAAAAGAGCAGAAGTAATATTAGTGTTTGTAAAAAAAAAAATTTTGCATTCTGGTATCAGAATCAGAATCAGAATCAGAAATACTTTAATAATCCCCGTGGGGAAATTACTTGAAAGGTGGGTACAAGAAACAGGAAAAACAAGAGGAGAGGGGAGGGGAAAAAAGCCGCTCCCAAACTCTGCTCCAT